AGGCGGCGCCGCTAGAGGGCCGCAGCGAGCCGGCAGAGCAGCGCCCCGCGCGGCCTGGGGGAGTTAACCGCGCAGAGAGCGCGCGGCGCTCCGCGGGTCCCCAGGAGTGTTGCGAGACGCTCCAGCCAAGTTTCAGGAGCGGAATGTCTCTCCGCCCGAGAGGAATGAGGGGGCTCCGGCGGCCAGAGCCATTCTCAGCGATTGTTTTGAGCCCAGGGGCTGTGCTGTCATCCTGCTCTCACCCGGCTGCGGGACCTGCCCTGCCCCCCAGCCTCCCCGCGCCCAAAGGCACGCACCGCAAGGGTGAGTTCCTCTGCAGGCACCACCGGACTGAGCTCAGCCTGCGGCAGGCGGGGCGAGGGCGGACGTTGAGCAGGTGCAGTTCCTGAAGGTGATGCTTGGGGCGAGGAGAGGACCCAGCGGAGTGGACGCGGGGCCTGTTTGGCAGCGCAGTGAGGCGGGACGCCTCCGAGACCCCGCCACCTCCGCCTCTCTCCTCATTCTCGCCGGGGGAAGGCTCAAGTCCCTGCGTCTGTCTAGCCACCTGCCAACCGCTGGGCACAGTCACCGCACTGAGCCTTAGAGTAAGACGCAGGGACTTAAAGAAAAAACTGTTGCATGACAGTTGTTGAAGACAGTGAGGCGGACTTTATTCAAAGGGGTCATGGCAATAGCTGTAGGGACCGCTGCAGCAGGGCCCTGCTGTGGGAAAGGGCGATTGGGCTCAAGGCTGGATGCAACACGCGCAAGTAGGAATTCATAGCTAGGAGCAGGGTGAGGTCAGTGGGTGTGAATTACTAAGAGGAGACATCAGGGGTAAGGGGAATTCTGGCTAAAATGACCTAATAGGATTCGTGCTGAAGACAGGCCAGGGTGATCAGACTTCACCTGGGGGATGGTGGAGGTCGAGGAATGCCATCAGGTTAGAAGGTGATCAGATATGGAGGGTGGGGAGTTCTTGCTAGAACTGGATTTTTCAATAAATGAACAGAGGGGCCCAGGAGAAGGTTCAGGAGCCTGACTAAAGTTTGGTCAAGCAAGATATATTTGTCAGGAGCTACAAGGAGCCATTGCTTCTCTTTTCCCACCCCTGCCCACACCTTCTCCTTCCTGAAATCTGGTCTTCACCTCTCTCCTTGCAAGCACTATACTAGTTTATATTCCTTATTTATACAAATCTGATTTTGTTGGGGGCAGCAATGTGCTCAATTAAAAATATATTTCCCAGCCTTTCTTGCCAATTCAAACCAATGAGATGTAAGCAGAGTTTGGGTGGGACTACCAGGAAAGCTTCTTAAAAGGGATGGAGACTCAACTAGTCCTATGACTTTCCTCTTTCTGTTTGAAATTTGGAATTGATGTTGGAGGTGGGGCATCCATCTTGTGGCCGGGAGGCAAGAAGTGTATGCTAAGAAAGGATGGGCAGAAGGAGCCCAGCTTCCTGATGGCATTTGGAGCCACATCAGGCCCTGGACTCCCTATCTTTTGACTTTTCATTACATGAAAAAAATAACCACCCCCTCCAAATTGTGGGGTTCTTTTCATTGTCTCTTTCTTACAGCATGATGCAATCCTAAAAGATACAGGCACGGAGTAAAAGGAAAGCCTGGGTTTTAACACAAGCAGTCTGATTGCTTTAACCACAGACCATGTAGCCCACACTTAGGTTTCTACCCCTTTTTAATGTCTGCCCTTGGGGCACATGCCCTTAGACAGGGGGATGCCCCTTGCCTGCCTGAGGCCTGTCTTCCAAGTTCAGTTTTCTTTTCTGAGGACTCACTTCTGACAGGGAATTCACCTGGGGAATCTGGGGAATGAGCCCATCCTTTAGCAACTTGGGTGTCACCCCACTTTGTGGCCTCTGCTGGAACCCTGCCAAGGACAGGGTACAATAAGCCTAATGTTACAGAGGGTTGTCCAGGCTGCCCCAGGAGCAGGGAGGGTGAGGAGACAGCAGCAGCCTGTTGCATACCAGCTTAAGAGGGAGAGTAGGCCTGAGGAAGGTTGGGGGCTATGGATGCTTTGGAGGGAAGAGAAAGAGGCTAAGGGCTGCAGCCTGTGGGGAGGAAAAGATAGAGCTTCGGGTCGGTGAGGACTGTAAGGGGTCTTGGGGGCTTCACCAGGAGAACCCTCGAGGCTTTCTGACCATCTGCTTCCAAAGGTGTGTCTAGGACAGGTGGACTGTACTCTGGTGTGGCTCTTATTCCTCCCTGTCTCCCCAGCGCCCAGCTCAACACTTGGCGCATAGTAGGCCCTCAATAAATGCTTGCAGACCGACTCATCCTGGAGGCTGGCCAGCATGGCCTGGGGAAAAGTCCCAGCATCCACATGAGCCATCCGGGAGGCAGTTTTAATTGGGCAGCACATTCCTCAAGAGACACCCATCACTTCTCACCTGGGCCTGGCTGCCAGCTTTATTTCATCATCCCAGTTATGAGCAGTGAGGCTACTGCAGACATGAGCTCACTGGGGCTCTCCAGGTGGGCCAGGGCAGAGCTGGGGCCCCTGCACCCCCAGCCCCCTCAGTTTCTCCATGTGCATTGTGTCCCCCTAGCCCCACAAGTTGAGGGGAGTAAAGACCTCAAAAGGCTGCTGCCCTGAAAGGCTCTGAGGGTCAGGGGAGGCCAGGCACTAGCTCTGCACCTTCTCTGCTCACACACAGGACAGGACTGGGCAGGGGAATGTCTAGGACTGTGTTAACCTCCCTCTGCACTGACAGGGAAACTGAGGGTCTAGAGTTGGAAGCTCTCTTCATGGTCTTCATTCTGCCCCCTTTATTTATCCCACAGTTGGGAAAACTTGCTTGAGGTTAAATGACACTGAGTAAGCGAAAGAATCAGACCTGGAACGAAATCTGTTTCCTCGTTCCATGTACTTTCCAAAGAGATCAGGGACTTGCTAGAGCTTGGACAGGTAAGGGTAGTCCTAGCCCCACTGTGGTACAACAGGTGGATTTAAGGGCCACACAAACCTTTTTATGTAATAGATTCTGTGTTTATTCTAACGTGAATCGGGGATCTCAGTGTGCAAAGCTCTAGCCCATGTGATGTCCAGATAAGAGAAAACGGCCTCATGTCCTGAGCGCCAGGTTTGATTCTAAAGAAGGTAAAGGGAGAAGGGGGAGAAGCTGGTGCCTTGCATTTAAGAACCTCCTATAGCAGTGGAGCATTTGGCCACTCACCGGGCACTTCCTTTGCTGTGGAGCAGCTCTCACTCCCATTTTACACCGAGACACAACCAGGGAAGCAGATTGCCCAGCTCTAGCGCTAAGGTCAGAACTGGATCATGGGTTTTCTGCTCCTGAGTCCTATCTCTTTTTACTATGCTATTTCCTGGAATGAAAGGTCACAGGAAGGTCACAGGATGAAAGGTCATCCTAGGAAGAAGAGTGGCACAGAGGGAGCTTATATGAAAGGGGGGTGGGGATGTCTGTACCTGTGTGCTATACACCACAGCAGTTGTAGGCAGGTGGCTCTGCTCAGATAAGTCACCTGTGAGGGGGGAACTTACTGGGGGTGCAGGGGCTTGTGTGTTCAAGGAACTGACAATTCACTACAACCTGGTAAAAGGGACCCCTGAAGCCATGTCATTCAAGGTGGTCTGCAAGGCCAGGGTCTCCTCAGAAACTTTCCTGGGGGACATAAAGGAGGCTGGCTGTAGGGCTCACATTTACCTGGCTCAGGGATGTGCCCTGGAACAGCGTTCTGAGTGCTGGCTGCAGCAGGAGGTAGAATCTTCCTCTACAAACCTGGGCGGACAAAGGATTTTCTATTTTTAAAAAATGGAAACCAGATGAGATTGGAT